GACTATAGTTACCGCTGCATACAGCTGGATATTTTTCTATCTACACCAGACTATAGTTACCGCTACCAGACTATAGTTACCGCTGCATATAGCTGGATTTTTCCTTTTACCCAGACCAGAGAGGATATAGGCGCGGTAAACACATTCTGTTGTTGCTCTCGTAGTGACAGAGTTCAACCATGCGCAATCAGTCAGTGACCAGGTTACAAGAATCGAAAGGTTCATGCGTGGAAAAAGTCACGAAAGCATTCTATGTGCATTTGCAAGTTCATCCTCTCAAAAGAGTGCTCTTTTTCCTTTTTCGAAGAAAAGGACGGTCGCAGAGTCCTCGGCGCGCTGTGAAAAAGCTACATCCCATTGAACATAGGGGTTCTCCTGTGACATCGCCAGGGGCTGCAGCTGAAGACTGCCTCACGCGGACACACAGAGAGGGAGAAGGAGAGAAGTAGAGGCTCTCTGTGTGTGTGTGTGTGTGTGTGTGTGTGTGTGTGTGTGTGTGTGTGTGTGTGTGTGTGTGTGTGAGAGAGAGACACAAACACAACTGAACAGAACTTGGCATAAGCTGCTCGTCTGGACTCACCCAACGATATTCTTAAATGAGATCGGAAAAAATGGCACGCACGCACGCACGCAAGCAGGGCGGGGGGACTGCGCAATGGCGGGAGCTGAAGTAGCCGGAGCTTAAAAATCTCACAATGTTCGCCAGGAAAGGTTTGCGCGGGGGTAAGGTTAGGTCGCCAAACGGGGTAACAGAAATGGGTGACGCAGGTGAAGGCCATGGGGTATTGGATGTCGAAAGATGGAGAGTCTGAGGGCAATGGGAGGAGAAGAGGAAAAAGGATAAGATCGAGGCTTACCTCTTTCACGCGGAGCTGTTCACCGCTCCGACGACGAAAAAAAGAGGTTCGCCTCTTGGCGGCTTACAACATCAAACTAGGACAAGCTAGGACAGTGTGCTCATATTTCCCCTCTCTCTCTCTCTCTCTCTCTCTCTCTCTCTCTCTCTCTCTCTCTCTGTGTGTGTGTGTGTGTGTGTGTGTGTGTGTGTGTGTGTGTGTGTGTGTGTGCATCTATATATCTACCTCTCTATCTATGCATACATGTTCATATACGTGGCAAGCACAGCACCCAAACACCCACATCGACAGGCACGCAACCACATGCACACACGGACACACACACAAGCTGATGCATGAGAACACACGCACACGTACGCTCGAGCACACATATGCACTACCAGCAGAGGGCGGCGGCAGGCCTACCGGGAGAGCGCGGATAGGGCCTAGTGGTATGGATATGCAGATTCTAGGTCGTTAGGCAGATTCTAGGTCATTAGGCAGATTCTAGGTCATTAGGCAGATTCTAGGTCCACTTAGGCCAGTACTACCGGGACGACGGCCTGGATTCGGCCTGGATTCGAGATTTGTTACAGTCTTGAAACGATCTGGGCCGTCGCAATGGGTAGACCAGCCAGAGAGTGTATTTTGAGAGGGGTCGGGCCGGAGCACTTCCTCCGGTGCCAGCCTTGCTCGGACCAAGCGCTACCAACCGGTGATGGCGGTCTGCTCGGCCGTGGGCGCTACCGCCGAGATAGCACCATGGTGGATATGGCTTCAGCACCTATCGTGTTGACGCTAGGTCGCATCCTGGAAGTGGTATGGGAGCGTAGGAGTCATAGCGAGGGAACGACCACCTAGATGTTGTTTTCCTTGAGATGTGTTCTTTGGATGTTATATTCACCTTGCATGTTCCCTTTCTCTATGGTCAGATGTCATCTCCTTGGGTGGGTTGAAAACTTTGATCTAGGGGGTTTTAACTGTGCTCAGAGAGACTGCTCTCCTCCTTCGACATGAACGCAGGGCAGGCAGGCATGGCAGAAGGGGAAGGCCAGAGAGAAGCGAGGTCACCACCACCGGACCCAGGACTGGAGGTAAAAGATGAGGAAAGGCTTCGACAACTCATCCGGCTATGCTATGAAGGTGTAATCCCATCTGACATTGACTCTGGGGAGATGCATGTCAATAGACGAGAGGTTCGGTTCAAAGTCAGCATGGAAATTGACCGAGCGAAAGTGGTATGGCTCAAGGAAAAGACAGTAAAGGTACGCCTTGAGGTAATAAAAAACTCAAAAAATGAAGTCCGTGAGTTTGAAATAAGATTCAAAGAAGACATGGTGAGAGCCTATGAAGGCAGAGAGACGCAGGACAACAGCTTCGACCAGGGAACTTTTCATCATGGGAGTCCAAATAGAGAGTCTGCTTGTGGTCTCCTATGTTGCGAAGAGCAGGGCACCATTGTTGCATTGATGATCTTGAAGGGTCGGGACTTCATCATCATGGGTCAGTCTCAATACAAGCTGGAGTTCAAGCCATGGTTGACGAAGGCACAACTGAACATGCAGCGAAGAGGTGGTGGCAGTCCAACTCCCTTTGGGCGCGATGCTGTTCTTGGAGGCTCAAGTGGAAAAAGCAATTGGTCTTTGCAAATATATCTGACGGGACCAGACTAGAAGACGTCTTCCTTACTCAACATGAAATTCGATCTCGGTTCCAGTTGTCGTCCTAAATTAAAGGGGTGTACGCATGTGCGATAACTATTATGTGCGGTCGCAGAGGTGGATCATTCGAGGGTGTTTCTCGTTCGTTGTAACATATGGGGTACATGCGGTTAACGCCCGAATCGAACCCGTGGGCGAATTGACGATTGGGGCACTGATCTCCCAAGCATGACCTTCACCGGTCGACTAGGACGATCAGTCTAACCACTCGATGTTTTTTCTCATAAATCTTACTTTAGAGTACAACTCGCGCCTAGTTCCTTTTTTCATTTGTCCCATAACTATTTCAATACTGGACAGACAAAAGTCGCTTGCAAGGGTTAATATAAGTAGCGTGACGACGTTGGCATTGATATAGCAAGTAATCATGTATGAAAACATGAGCGCTCAGTATGACGGTGTACTATGTGGTGCCCATGACCACGTGACCCTCAATAGTTTCACGGGTCACATGATTGGACACTCAAGTATCGAATAACACCCATCTTGAGAGGTTGTTCCTCTATGCTAGACAACCGCGAATGACGTTCCTCGTCCTACCCGCTTCAGCACCTTGCACAAAAGAGTGGTAGGCATCACTTTACTAGCAAGAAGTTATGTGCTGCGATTTACGAGACCTTTACCTTTTTGTCTATAAAATTCAAATCCCATCGAGCAACTCCCAAAAAAAAAAATCTTCATTGCCGCCTACGCATGCGCGTGCAACTTGTCGTAGATTTTTGTCTGCACCTAACGTATGTGACTTCCTCGACCCGTAACTTCCACTACGCGCGAGCGACAAGCTATGGCTCACGCAAAATCGTATAAGCAGGGCAATTTGAACCTAACAGTCGCGGTCCTTGAGACTCTGCGGGACTAAGGCGGCATGGCGGGAGACTTGTTTTTAGCCTGAATTTTGTCCATGACCTAAAATTTTATTAATTTAACGATGGGTTTTTTGTGCGGCAGCGACGAACTTTATGACATGATGGTGGAGGTGATGTTGGATTAAACTGCGGCAGACTGATTTCTCACTCTTGTGGGGTTATGCTGCCAAAATTTGTTGGCGTCGACAGCGGTTAATTTTGCAGCGTTATACTGTCGAATTAGAGGTCGTCATGCGGCGCTAAGTGGAAGAAAAGTACTGGATTATTTTTGGTACGCCAAGGGACTTGCCATCAATGTCGTTAGAAGGGGTGAAATGCATTGAGACTGTTGCGACGACACGGGGAGCAGCGAGACCTGTGGTTCATTTATGCTTGTGGACTTTGCAAATTTGAATGAAGGTGTCGACGATAGTCTGTGGGATGGACCAGACTTATCATAGTGGAACGACACGTCGATTTTTTGTGTGTGTGCACGTCAACGGTAGTGAGGTCTTTGGCATTGGCCTAATTGGATCTTTTGGGACCGGCGGCGCATGTGAGTAGGACGGGTGGTGCCAGTGGAGTTGGCTTTCACGAGCATTATTTTTTTGAGGCATGGTAGAAGTGGTTTTGGCGGGTGACCTTATCATGTGCTGAAGGGAATAGTGCGGGACCACATGAGACCAATTGGGACTAGTTGGCACTGACGTGGGACCAGTGAACTTTTTTTAGGGATATGTGCAGCTCGCCGTTTTCACACTTGGGACTACCGCATGTGGTATATGCGAGTTGGGGACGAATTGGGGCTAGCGGTTGGTTGAGACTTGCCGTGAGACTACATTCTTCTTCGACGACGCCTATATCCTTACTTGACTTTCTTGAGTGAGCCACGATGCGTTCGATACCACTTCACTTAACGTCAGTTGGCGACTCGATTTTCCCTCCACACCTGTATGAGCCCACAGTTTACTTGACCCTCTTTGTTTTGAACATTCAAAATAAAAAGTTGAGTAAAGCATGTGTGGTCATGCATGGGAAAAGTAGGATCTGACGGGAGTATGGGTTGTTGGATGTTCTGGACCTTTGATTGTTTTTAAGTGTACAGGTAGGTAGAAGGATGCCTACATAAGATATTGATTATGCGTATTTGATAAATGAAAAAAATTGTCTTATTTTTACTTCTCACTTGCCTGCATGTCTAGAATGTTTCGTTGTTTTAAAAAATGTTAATTTTGTGCGCACCATAAAACGAATTCGATTCAAATATAGCATATAAAGTCAAACAAATTTTGGTTTTTCTTGGGGATTGCCCTTTCTATCTCGGATGACCTTATCCACCTATACCTGTCTAAATGATTCAAATATAGCAGATAAAGTCAAACAAATTTAGTTACCTTCAACTTAAGAATAAATTATAACAATTAAAATCTATTTTTGGTGAACAAATGCCGATTCGGTGGAGACGGTCCGACTTCTGAGATCCGAGCTTCGTGTTTGGGCGAGGAGGAGTACCCCAGACCACTACCTCGAGAGAGAGACATGTGAAACCTCAAGTAATGCACCTGATTAAGAATCATCCGCAAAATGATTTGTCATTCAAGAAGAGTAGAAACATGTAGAGACGGGTATGTGCATGCCTAATCTTAGGTAGACAGTAGAGTGGGATGAACAACTTTGGTGACGCATCTCATCAATTCAAAACTGAGGTTGTCCGACTACCTTGTCGGCTGCATCTATGTTATTGTCGGGAACCAACTTCTCATTGGCGGATGTATGATTTTTGTGGAGTTCGACCTGGGATAGTCGGATTTTTTGAAATATTATTATTATTATTATTATTATTTTATCTTGTGTTATTCGATGTACCGTATGATGATTTAAATTCTTGCATTTGTTATTTTAGATTGGATATACATTACTACCGATTACGGTCGATCCCTCTTAATGAAATTATGTGTGATTGTTATAACTTTCTCTTGACTAGTGTTCAAAAACTAGGATACTTTTGGGTTCCACACTTGGTTAAGACCGTCTTAGTCAACCGGCGTACGCTTCGTTCTTAGGAGATCAGTGTCCTAAGGAACGAATGATGTTCGGATCTGCCTTACGTTTAACCAAATATTTCCTATACTGCAGCGAATCGAGCAAACGTCATGGGCTGACCTACATAAAGAATTGCATTTAAAAGTTTTCGTACGTGGGTCAGTAGTTCGGTAGGGATATAACCCTAAGGGTGGTGACAGTGCCTTAGGAAAAAAAATTGTGCCTCATGGAAACCTAGTATCCCATCGTAGGGGATTGTGGGAAGTACAGTTGGCGCACCCTGCTAGAGCAGCGAAGAGACGATGCAACGACGTCTGCTTCGATGATTCACGGGGTTACTTTGCGTTATCCCCAAGTTGTCTCAGATTTGTTTTTGTTTACTCTTGCCTGACATCGTGGGGAGGGCTCTCGCTTTTTGCGAAAAGTCGGGAGCCGATGCGCTCGACAACGCATAGCTCGAGAAA